GACACCAATCCTGCTTCCCCTCAGCCTTCTGGCTTCTTCTCCCCCATGTTTGTCTTGGCTGAGAGCTGCTCAGGGCTGTTTGAAGCTGATTCCATCAAGGCAAAGCTGGAGGAATCAGGACATGGGATCAGAGAGGAGAAGGCTGACAGGGGCCTCAGATGGGGGCATAGAGGTGATCGATCGCACAGAAGGTTAATGACAGACCAGGGTGAGAACCCTGTGCTCCTGAGTCCCTGCATGGTGCTCAATCCAAGTGTCACGGAGCTGTCCAGGTGGATGAGGAGCTAACACAGGTCCGAAGTCCACTGAGCACCTTGATGCCCAACTTTCCAGGAGGGTGTTTGAGGGCTCGAAGGTATCCAGAATTGTGCTGTCATGTCTCCTAGTCTGGCTTCATAACATGCAGATCAGACACTGCACTCCAGCTTCTAGAGACTGGGCCCCAGCAGCAGGACCCCTGGTCCAGGCAGGAGCCTAAAGGAGGCCTGGCTGGCCCCAGGCGCCGGGCCATGCTCCACCAAGGCCACCCCCGTAACTCTCAGAGCTTGATTCAGTGCTGCCTCCCCTGGGGCCCAGCGTGGACCCTCCCATGTCCTGCTCTGCACAGATGCTGGCAGGTCACATGTCCCACAGCTGAAGGCCTCCCCCGTCCGTCCGCCTCCACCATCTGCTGAGGCCCCGTAATTATTCCAAGGCCTGGTGCCGTCTCACTCCGAGGGGAGAGTTCACACAGCCCTGTAATGTAACCCAGGCCCACGGCCGCTCGGGCAGGGGGTCCCCAGCTGGGTAATGAGCCGCCAGCTTTATTGAATTCCCTGGCTTGGGTCGCTGCCTTTAGCAGAGGCAGCCCAGGACTTCTGAGAACCTGAGTGCCCTGACTAAGGACTTCTCCCCAGCACCCCAATCCCTGCTCCCCAAATCCTTCTCCTCTCCGAATATGTTGAAATGGCAGGATAAGGGCAGGGAGCGTCCCAGAGGGTTGGCCTCCCCTATCCATGCGGGAGAAAGCATGGCTGCCTCAGGCCTGGGGGCCCAAGCAGGGTGGACCAGCATGGGCTGCTGGTTTGACTTTACTGGGGCTGCCCCATGTGGAGGCAAGACCTGCAGTTCCCACCCCCACCTTGTCTCCTAAACTTATTGACTTCTCTGTCACTCCCACTTTCTGGAGGCCTGGGCCCTGCGGAGGGAGGGCCTTGGCTGAGAAGGCCGTGCTATGGGCCAGGCCTTTCCAAGGAGAAGTGTAGGAAACTGCCTTCTCTGCTCTGTCTTGCAGGCTCCTGCACAGACTTCAAGACCCACCCAGGTCACAGCTGTGCAACAACAACCCCAGCCCTCTCTCCCTCCTCCTGTTCCCAGCACTTGTAAGATCCCCAAGACAGTGTTTTCACTCTTCTGTCGTGCTCTTGCATGCCTGTCTTCTGGCGGAGACTGCTCTCTCTGTGAATAAGGACTGTATCTATCTCTATGCCCCCAGAACTTAGCACATAGTAGGTGCTTTAAGAA